TTAGCGTGTGAATGTGAAAATAAAATAAGCCATTGTATAGTGTTGTGGGGCTTGTGGTTAGTGTGTTCATTATGGGGAACCATCTATAATCAGAATACTCTCCCCAGCCACCCTCTCCCTACCTCGCAAGTTAGAAGACCCCACATAACCTTTATGGATGTTTCCTGTATGTAGACAGATTTGATCACCTTTCTTGGTGTCCTTTTCAGTACATTCAGAATGAAAAAGAAATTCTGCCAGAATATTCCTTGTACAAGCATCTAAGGTCCCATAAGCAAAGCCTTTTTTTCTTTCAGCTTGTGCTAATATCTCAATACTACTGTTTGCAGTGTTTATATCACAAATGCATTACCCTGAACAACGTTCCTACTTAAACAAAATGGAAAGCTTCATCACCATCGATCTGTTTCTCTATTTTACATCACCGAGAACTTAATTAACGGTCATTGTTCATTCAAACAGGCATGGTGAACTTGCAGAAAAACATTGACAAACCTCATCATTTTATGTCTTCCTTACTGTCATAAAAAGTATAATATAATCATGCGCAAGTGGTTGCTTGATTTTGGGCCTACTTGGGATTTCTGGCCTACTTTTAAGATTCAAATGCTTTTTGATGCCACCCCTAAACCAAACTGACAAAAAAAAATGCCACTTCTCTTTTGTGAAGGAAATCAGCAAGGTTAAAAAAATTGAGGTTAACTGCAGCAATAAATAATAATACTAATAATGATAATAATAATAATAATAATAATAATAATAATATTTTCTGCAGCAACACAGATTAGTTACTGTCTGCAGAATTTCAGTGGGTTTTGTTCACCCATGCACAGTTTATGACAACAGAAATTCCAATAAAGAGAAATTTCTGCAAGTTTATTCATTTTAATCCAATTCAAAAATGCACAAATTTTACATCAGGTTGATACTATTAATAATAGGCCTTTACCAGGCTTCAAATTGAGGAGAGTTTGAAAAAATATATTGCAAGTAAAAAAAAGGTATTCAAAACACTATCTAACCTTAAACTTAACCCTAACCACTACTATCTGAGCATCTGATAGAGGCTACATGAATTAAACATGGCTAAGGTTCTTTTTGAAGTCAACTAAATTTGGATGTTATATTTGTCAGCCTTCATTGAAAATACTCAAGGTCATCCTTGTCNATTTTACATCAGGTTGATACTACTAATAATAGGCCTTTACCAGGCTTCAAATTGAGGAGAGTTTGAAAAAATATATTGCAAGTAAAAAAAGGTATTCAAAACACTATCTAACCTTAAACTTAACCCTAATTACTACTACCTGAGCATCTGGTAGAGACTACATGAATTAAACATGGCTAAGGTTCTTTTTGAAGTCAACTAAATTTGGATGTTATATTTGTCAGCCTTCATTGAAAATACTCAAGGTCATCCTCGTCCTTCAATCCAGTCTTGATAGCGGAAAGTTCCAGGGTTGATCCAGCATGTGGCAAAGTCCTATACACACGTAAATGGACAAAGAAACCATCGCCAACATCAACCTTGAGACAAAATAACAACCACTTTCAATGATGGCAAGACTGTGATATTCCCTGACTAATTAACAACTAGACCCGTAGCCCGCAAGGGGCTATGGGTCAATAGCCCATGAGGCAAAGCCGAATGGGCTATAGACCCGTGGCCCTTGAGGGCGAAGGGTCTAATTGTTTTAGTATCACCCAATTAGTCGGACAGAAAAGGCAATAATAAAGTTA